AGAGAGAGAGAGAGAGAGAGAGAGAGAGAGAGAGAGAGAGAGAGAGAATTCTTCAAGATAATACCTATACAGACATTCATGTCTGGGGCTGCTTTAAGTGTGCCATTGACTTGGCTAGCTCCTTGGGAACGGAAAGGGGCGTTTCAGGGACATGGTGTTTTACTGTCTTGCTCTTTTTCTTTTTTTTTCTTAGGATGACACAGGTGGCTGCCACATTGTCTCTGAGGGAACACCATCCCACATAAATAGATAAACCACCAAGGCAGCAGCACACAGCCCGTCCACGAGCACTGTTCCCTGGCCTCCCCGGGAGCAACAGGATGCCCAGCACTCTGCTGCCCGCCTGCTTCCTTGGCCTGCTGGCCTTCACCTCTGCGTGCTACATTCAGATGTGCCCAAGCGGGGGCAAAAAGATCATGATTGAGAATGGAGACGACCCAGGTACTACTGTGGACCATCTCAGTAGGCCAGCCATGATCAGTGCCTAAGGATGGACAGGGGCTAGGAAAGAGGGAGTCCTTGGGAGAAGCCAGTCTTGAGGGGTAGAAGGGGCTGCTGCACACTGATCCCATCCACATAGGGGATGCAAGAAATTGAGAGAGATGCTTTTCCAGTAACTGGGCTTGGGGTTGGATCAGGGAGAATGCAGTGGGGAGGCCTCTGCTGGACCTCTTGGGTCCTCTCATCTGGACTAGTTGGAGGATTGGCGGTTCTGTCCCACCTGCAATTCTAGGTCTTCTCCACCAAGCACCAGCTGCTCTCAGCCACAGATAGCTGACCTCACGTTCAAATGGCTACTGATCTAAGCTGGCCTTAGAAGAAGGACCACTCAAGTATCTGTAAGGAGGTTCTGCTAGACACCTAGCCCAATTCTCTTTTGCCGTATGTCCAGCTGATTCTCCTTTTTTTTTTTTTGTTTAAAAAATTTTTATAATTGTAGATGGACAGAAAGCCTTTCTTTTATTTATTTTTATGTGGTGCTGAGGATCGAACCCGGTGCCTCATGCATGCGAGGCAAGCGCCGTGCCACTGAGCTACAGCCCCAGCCCCAGCCAATTCCTTTTAATTCCAGCTATGACAGAGCTGAAGGAAATCTGATCAGTTCTGCCCAGGCCACAGGTGGCTCTATGTGGAGCTGTAGAATAAGGGAGACTGGGCAGGTGGGCAACCCTACAGCCTCCCTACTGTGTGTTGGCTTCTTTGAAGGTCTGAGGTACCAGGTTTTCATGTTCTCCCCAGAGTTCAGGGCCCTGAAAGCCATCTGGATGGCTACAGAAGGGTGAGCACTGGATCATGTATCCAAGTGAGACCTACCAGATTGGTGGTAGGTTGCAAAGGCAAAGCCAGAAATGGGAGAAAAGGTTTGTGTGTGCTCTGCATATGGTCAGGGGGCCCTCTGCAAGGGCCTAGGGATGAAATTTACACAATGGGGCAAAGGGAAGTTATGCAATAGGCATCTAATAGGCAGATGACAGAGGAGGGCATACCAGTGATGTCCCAGAGTTGGAGAGAAGGTCTCCTGCAGTATCCCATGGGAGACCTGTCCCACAAGTGAAGGTGAGGATGCTGAGGGCTGTTACTGAGAACTGGTCATCTGTCGCCTGAAAATGGAAGTGTTTTGTCCATTTTGCACCCACCCTTGACCTCTCTCCAGATCCGTCTCCCCCCAGGACCTCAGTCCCATGATTATCACTTGCACTCTGGCACCCTGAAGCCCAGCATGTACTCCTTGCACCTGCCTGGCCTGGTGCATGCCCCTACTTTTCCCACCGCCTCCCTGATCCCACTCACCTGCATCCATCCCTGCAGTACCAGAGCCACAAGATAAGGTGCCGACTGAGAATTTTAATGAACTGCCAGGAGAAGACAATGAGGTTCAGGAGGAACATGGAAATGCTGCACTGCTTCCACAAGAAACTTCCAACGTGGCCAGGCAAGCACATCCTGAAGCTGTGCTGGAAGAAGAGCAGCAAAAGCCCCCCAGGCTGAGGTTGAAACGCAGGTGAGCTACTGGGGAGGGTTGGCGGGGCGGGTGCCTGCAGGGGACACAGGGGTGGAGGTTCCGGAGCTCTGCGCACCCCCAGGATGCCCACGCTGTTATGGTCCTTCCCACAGATAAGTGCACCAGCGACCCCACCCTGCGTGCCGCCCCACCTTTGACCGAAGCAGGGGAGCCCGTGACAGGAGCAATGCCACCC